CATATGAACACACAGATAGACAAGAAAACACAAAGGAATCTGCTAGGAAGCTTAATAGGAAATCGTTACATTTTATGAAGGAAACGAATGTAATTCATATAGAAAAGAAATAGAACTTTTCCTATTTATTGTTCAGCTTGCAGGATCCTCAACAGGTAAAGGAAGATATATATTTATGAGGCTCTATCACTGTCCTTGTTTTACAGGTCAGGCATGTTTCTCTAGCTAGTCTGTAAGCTCCTTGTGTACAGGAACTCGACCCTATACTTCAATTATATTTCTCCCAACCCATGCTTAGCCCAGATGAGGTAGCTAACCTATGTCCAGAGTGGAGAATGGACTTGCCTAAGGTCACATCATCATCAGTCATCATCACCATAGCTAATATTGTTATATCACCTACTATGTGTCAGGCACTGTGCTAAGCACTTTACAACTATTACCTCATCTGATCTTTACAACAACCCTAGGAGTTAGGTACCATTATTATCTCCATTTTACAAATGAGGAAAGTGAGGCAAACAAAGATTAAGTGATTTGCCCAGGCTCATACAACTACTAAGTATCCAAGCCTTTTCAAGGTCAGATTTGAATTTGGGCCCTCCTGACTCTAGGCCCCATCCTTTATCTACTGTACCACCTAGCTGCTAAGTGGAAGAGTTGGAATTCAAACCCAGGCCTTCTGATTATAAATCCAATATTATCTCCCCTGGACCATCCTGCCTTTTCATTGATTGAAAACTTGTCCCAGTAAAGTGCTGGATTTTTGTCCCTAGTACTTTTCACAGGGCTCACTTATTTTACAACCCTATAGCTAAATGTTTGGGCACATCAGAAATTAAAATAGAAATAGGAAAGCTTTTTTAGTCCATTTTCCTAATTAATATGTCAGAGCTCATAAAGAAGAACTCATCAGCTTTTCTTCAGCACTGCATCATCCTAAAGACCTGTGTCAGCAAAGATCTCAGCAGACAGTCAATACATTTTAAAAGAGTTCCAAGCCGTAAATCAAAACCAAAAAATGAAGACACAGTAAAAAGAAAAATTCACAAGTGGATCATGGCTTAATGCAGAATGAACTCAGGTTCCAGAGTGTGGTATACAGAATAGAAAATTTAAAAAAAAAGATTTCCTTTGAAGAAATATTCTGTAATACTGAGCATACCCAGCACCTGAGTTAAACTACAGCTAAGAAGTAATATCAAATTGAGCTAATGTTCTCAGAACTTGGTTCTCTCTTCCAAAAGTTTCTATTCATTTTAATTTATTTTTTAATGATATAGTTTTTCTGTTGATTTCAGCCTTGCTGATATCTGGATTTTGTGAGGGAATTCTGAAGAAGAGCAGGAAAAAAATGAGGTGAGGTCATCAAAGGAATCGTGTGCCACTAAAGAGAAGATAGGTTGATCACGAAAAAGGCAAGAGTGAGAAATGAAAGAAAGGTGGATGGCCAGAGTGCTCCACTGGTGCTCTCATCAGGTCAGGCTAAAGCTAATAAGGTCTCCAGCAAGTTGAGTGGACCTTCTATGGAGAACTCTGGGAGAACATGAATGAAAGTCATACAGGATGGGCAGGTATGAATGGGCTGAAATCTGCCTCATTTGAAGGAACTTCCAAATCAAGGAGGATATGGATACATTTGAGTAGATTCTTGGGATTTCTTCTTATATCCTATGTCTATGCTTTAACATGGAAGGAATATGTACCTATGACATTTTAAAAAACCCAGAATGATAATGAAAAGATTTTTGCTTACATGATAAGGAGACAGGGGTTTTTTTGGGGGGGAAGGAGCAAGAAATAAAGGGGGAATCTTACCCCAAAAGTAAATACAAAAAACATCATATTGATAGGAAAATGGCCTAACAAACTGCAAACAAACAGTAAGTTCACGTAGCAGGCTTTCCCTCTTGTCAGAAAATGATGGGAACACAAGTCCTCTTCTGAATATCTGACTCATCTTTTGTTTCAGGGAAAGGGGGAAGTTTGCCTTTTGGATGGGAATGTTAGAATCATCTAGCTTGTCTGAGGCTTTGGCTTGACCTGAGTTCTCAGGCATCACTTTGAGAGGAAGATGGCCACAGCGTGCATGCCAGCGAGCCTGTCACATATTTGGGATTCACCCAAACCAGACCAACAGATGTAACTTGGCATTAAAATGATCCTTCAAAGCCTAAAGCAGCTGACTCAGGAAATCTTTTACCCAGACAAATTTATTAAAATGTTGCACATCATCCTGAATGAGAGGGAAGATGATACATTTAGGTCAGCACACAAAATCTAATTTCTTTGACTTTTGGATGGTTTTGGATGGAACGAAAGCTACCTGTATTTTTGTAATTAAAAAAGTGGGGATGAGGAGAGAACACATTCTCTCCTGGAAAGATTATGATTTCTGTCTCAAGATTTTCAGAAAAGCAATTTTGGGGGAAACCACGGCTGTGGAAAGTAGATGAGTAATCCCAATTAGCACTGGTGAGCACAGTAGGGGAAGATCAGTCTAAAGATGAAAATCCAAATGAGAGAAATACTTAGCAGCCACATACTGTGAAGGACAACTGAGAGAGAAAGAATCTGTATCATCTGAAATGCACATCATTGGGATTGGAAAAAGAGGTAAAGGATACTGGAACCCAAAGGTCAAGTGTTAAATTGGCCTTTCATTCTGTGCTCTATGAGCCTCCTCTCTTTCACAAACAGAGACAGCCCTAGGAAAGATGACACTGTTCTCTATGAAGAGTTGTGATGATAACAGAATTTTTGGCTAACCCAGAATCTAATTGTTTAGAAGTTGAGTAAAAATAGTCTTGTGTTTAGTTTCCTGAAAGGGGCCAGACGATTTTTATTTCTTATTTGTTTATTTTAGAAAGACTCGTGAAAAAGTGTTTAAAGGATTGTTTTTACATTTTTTAATCTTCTACTCTAATTCTAGACAGAAAACTCACATCTTTAGGCAACAGCACGAAGACACAGAAGAAGTACTATACCCATGAAAGGCAAAAATAGTTTCAAATTTCCTTGGGGTTCATGAGTCATACGACCTTGCCTTTGTGACACCTATAAAAAACTCAAGTACTAGAATATTTTAAAATAAGAAGATGGTGGGAACAATCAGCACATGGCAATTTCATCACTCTCACAGTGATCTGATCCTCTTGAGTTCTTTATTAGGAGAAATGGGGGGAAAATAAGCCAAGAGTTGTGAACCAATTCTTCCCCTGCTGTTATTACTAAAGAATCTGGAGAAGTATTAAAATTAAAAAAAAAATTATAATCTTGCCTTGAAACATGATGGAACTAATGAGGCATCAAGGCCACTTATGGCTGAAAACATAATTGGCACATAAACACAGGAGATGCTTATTGATGGGAAAGCCTTTCCCTTTTGTTTCAGAAAACCAAAGGATGCCAACATATTGCAATCCTTCTGTTGTAACTGAGTGGCAAATCTAAGACTAAGATAGATAATTTCTTCAGCAGAGTTTTAACAAAGTAGAGAACTGGGAATGTTTAGCACATGATATATAGTACCTTAAACATATTCAACTGGTTTGAATTAAAGATGATCAAGAAAGAATAGAAAGGCTAGAATCAAAAATTCAGAGTTGGAAGAGCAGCCATTTTGTCCAACCCTACCTGAAGAATTCCTATTATAAAACACTCAATAAAAGGCCATCCAGACTTTCCTTCAAGACCTCCCATTAGAAGGGAGGCAATACATTTTCTTCTTCCAAAGCCTGGATTTTTTGGAAAGCTCCTCTGAAGTGATCCAAGAGATCATTGGGAAGAGTAAAGGGTGTTGATCACAGAGGAAGTAAGGCTCAGATAAGAGAAGCATTTCAAACCTTCCTTTGACACTGAATTTGAACACATCCTAGGATCACAGATTTAGAGGAAAAGATCTCATAGGGCATCTCACCCAAACTCTTCTTTTTCAGATGAGCAAACTAAGGTTAATTAGACCTGGGATAAAGTGGTAGCATTTAGAGAATGACAGGTAGATTTGGCTTAGGGGAATCCTTAATGATAAAATAACTCCAGACAACAGGTCTATCTGGCTTGACACAAATAATGAGAGATTGAAACCCTTGTTTATGATTATACTAAGACAATCACTGTTATCAGATGCAGTAGACAGAAAATGCTGGCTGAGAAAGGAAATTTCTTTAGCATCTCCATATCTATTTCTACTCATACTGAGGTGCTGCTAGCAGTATGTTAGAAAAAAAAAATCTTAAACTCAAAGTTTGGATTTTTTGAAAAATCTTAAGGGAATACAACACTGAAACTTATTTTAATACAAATAAGCATCAGGATGAACAGACTCTAAAATTCCAGATTACAAAAGACAAGTTGAAATACAGAAGCTAGGAAGGTGTCTTTTCTTTTAGCCTACAAAAACAGTGAAGGTTTCAGAAGATGCTGGTATCACAGAGCTTTTCTAGAGTCATTTTGGGAAGATCACTCATGAATTAAAACAAAACATGATATATTCTGCTTTGAAGGGGAGTGTGTGTGTGTGTGTGTGTGTGTGTGTGTGTGTGTGTGTGTGTGTGTGAGTTGAGGACAGTTAACTGACATTTTTATAACCTCAGTTCTTTAGAAAGAAAAGAAAAAAATTCACACGGTCAAAACTTTCACTGTGATGTCAGGATGCCAAAATCATCATGGGAAAAATTTAAGGGTTTTTGTTGTCCTTTTTAAAATTTCATTACCCTTAATGTTCAACTGATACACTTCTTGACTTTTTTGTGGACTTCACTTTTTTTTTTTAAAGGGAACAGCCATACTTTTGCTTCAGATGATTCACGTCAGCCTGCATGCAGCTATGCACAGAGCCAAGCCATAATTTATCACTATGGAAGTCAGAGACATCTCATGTATTAATTAGCAAGCCTTTCTGTGACTGGTGGGTGGAAACAGGCTCCAACTGCCACTGGTATTTGGTCAGCGGTTTCCAGGAAGGGAGAAAGTAAAATGAGTTATAAGGAATTTCTTACCCAATTTGTGTCCAGCCAATGAGTGAACTTTACTTTCATCTGGCACTGAATGGAAGGAAAGAAAAGAGACAAAGATAAGACACTCTTTAAATTCACCATTCTGAACAGATGGAACATTACTTTAGATACATAAGAGATTAAATATTTTACTTTAGCAAAGGTATGACATGTGAACTTTCTCCTCATTTACAAGATATAGCCTAGTGTTCAAAAATAGGTCAGGAAAGGACATGTTTATACAGGATATTACTATAAAGAGAGTACTTTGTGAGGGCAGTGACATTTTTCTTTAATGCCTTTTCTAGATTCTTTAGTTGTGTGATTTCATTTTTGTATCAGGAGAAGTTAACTCATAGACCTATTTATGTAAAATTTAATCAAAATTATTACACTTAATAACAGACAGATGGTTGGATAGTTTCCCAAATATAGTCTACTTTCAATTTTAGATATTTGACAATTGACTTGGTGGACTAGCTGCTGAAAATCAAGTCTGTCTTTGTATGATTAACCACTAAGTTATATCTGTTACAGTAGCAAAATATGGCATGGTATTGGATGGGGTACCCTAAAAGGGCTGAGTACATATTTGTGCACATAAGCATCTGAATTTATGTCTCTGTGTTATAAAACTAAATAGAAAAAACTTTGAATCGTACGTAGACTGGGTTATCCATTCCACTCCTCCCCATTTTCCCCCTCTACCAACCTGTGTTCCTGTTGTATATATAATGAAATGCTACTTCTTAAATTTTGAAATTATAAGCCCTACCCCAGGGATATTCCAATGGAGATTTCATGTTTTGGGGGACGGGTGAGACAGTTGAGCACATATATAACAGAGTGTCCTAGGTCCTCTAGTACTTTTGCCCTTATAAGGAACTTCCCTTTGGGTCTGAAGCCAAGTGGCTGAGATAGACAGGAGAGAGAAGTTTTGCACTCAAATTCCTTCTCTTCACATCAAGAAGGAAAAGGAAATCAGGTACAGAACTCTTTCAACGGAAAGCAGAAATCAATGGAAAGGATCAGAGTGAGACCAAAAGTCAAGTGGCCATGTAGGAAGATACTTGCTGTATAAGCCAGTAAGAGCAAACTGCAACAGAAAACAGACAGGGCTAATCCAAATAACATGGGACAGTTTAGACTACCTGAGTCTAATCCACAACTTTCCTCTCTTTCTTCCCAATTTTTGGCATTTTCATTTGCTGTCCCCATGTCTGTCTGTCTGTCTCTCTCCTCTATCTCTTAACTTCTCTGACTTCTTTGAAGTCTAAATTAAAGTACCACCTTCTGTAAGAAGTGTCTTCATTAATGCTATTGCCTTCCCTCTTTTGATTATTTCCACCTTATCTTGCATATATCTTACCTGCATACATCTTACCTGTACATAGTTGTTTGCATGTTGTCGTCCCCACCAGATTATGAGCTCTTTGAGTGTGGGGACTACCTTTTACCTTTCTTTGAATCTCTGGCATTTAGCATAGTGCCCTGCATATGCTTAATAAATACTACTTGAGTAACTGACTTTGATTTCCTGTAGAGCTATCCTGGAAAGAATTTACTTGTCTCACCATTCCCTTTCTACTTCTCCTTAAGACTAAATTAGGAGAGGAAAGGAGAGAGGAGGGAAATGAATGGGCTGTACTTGGCTGTATATTCTATTGCTGCCTTCTATACCTTGTTTAAAGGCCTGTCTGTGATTCTATGCTATTTGAAATTGTTACTAAAGAACACAGTCATTTATAATGATTTTAGTCAAGCCTATAAGTACCTGATTTAATACTGAGAGAGGGAAAGGTAACTCAAAAGAGAGAGGTAAGGATAAACGGCCATTAGAATGAGAATGTTTGAATTGTGAAATATTCTAGAACCCAGTCATATATAATACTGTCTATTGAACCTGGAGGGAGATTTAATGAGGAAATGAGCCAGTAGTAGTAGTAGTAGTAGCAGCAGCAGTAGTAGTAGTAGTAGTAATTAAACAGACCTTTAAGGTTTGCAGAGAATTTTACATGTATTATCTCACTTGATCTTCACAATAACACTGTGAGGTAGGTGCTCATTTGCTCATTTTTTCCAGATAAGGAGACTCAGCCTGGGATATTAATGGATTTACTCAGGAACACATAACTACAAAATGTCTGAAGCAAGATCCAAATATAAGTCTTCCTGACATCAAGTCTGGCCCATTATTTACTATTTCACTTGATCATCTGAGGTGGAAATTGGTGTAGTTATCCAGGTCACTGGATGATAGAGGCCATCTAGCTAAGGAATGTTCCATGTATAGTTCATGTCTGATGTGTTCAAAGGCCATAACATATTGGATAGAAACCACATTTACCCATATTGATTTTTTGTTTCTTTTCTCTCTCTCTTTCTACTTCCCTGCCTTGCCACTGTTTAGAGATTCCCTGAGGTTTCACTTCCCCGGTAATGCTTCTGTTGCATATGTGGACTAAGCTATGAGAACCAGTCCATGGAGTACACACAAATTTTCTTCTTGGTTTCATTCCAAATGATAACATGAATGACTAAGGGATATTTGCTCTATGTGATGATTAAAAGTCTTCTAATTGGCTGTTAATAGTAATTAATTATTTACTTTAGCTAGGATTGAACTCAGACATGATCCACAAGTCCAGGGCTCTTTCCATTACACCACATTGCATCAAGAAGCTCATACTAAACTACAAACTAATTAGTATACAATGGGAGATAGAGAAAGGAGATCCAGCCATTTCAAATTGTGAGGTAAAAAACCACAGGTTAGGGTAAGAGAAGAAAGAATGAATGACAATGTTTATGGCAGTCTACTTCTTATCTGAATTTCAAACTGATGAAGGTGTTCAGTGTCAGGTGAATAATTACCAAGGTTTCCTAAGGACCCAATGTTGCCAGACATGAGTGACATTGTTCTGTGATCACACTGCTTGCTGCCTCTCTAGCTTTTAAGACCATAAGTCAAATTTTACATTTGACTCTATGATCACAAGCTACCTATAGGACATTTTGAATTGGATGTCCCATAAGCATCTCAAACTCGATACGTTCAAAAGAGAACTCATCATCTTTCCCTCAAAATCCAACATTAATTCCAAACTCCCCTATTATTGTCAAGGGTTCACCATTCTTCCAGGAACTGAGCTTATCAACTGTGATGTCATTCTCATCTCCTCACTCTCACTGACGACATACATTTCTGTCTCTATAGCACTCTTTCTTCTCTTTTCCCACAGCCAGATCTTAGTTTACAATTATATCATCTCTTACCCGAATTATTAACAATCCTGTTTGGTTTCCCTACCTCAAATCTCTCACCATTCAAACAGATCTTCCACATAGCTGAGAAACAGACTTTCTTCAAAGACTAGTCTGATCAAATCACTTCTCCTCCCTACCACACCCACACCCACCCATCCACATACACACAGACACAGAGACCCACATATATACACCTCCCTCCAGTGGCACCCTATTACCTCTAAAATCAAATATATAAACTCCTTTATTTGGCATTTACATCTATCTAGAACCCAGCCTCTTCCCACCTTTCCAGTCCTCTACTACATTATTCCATTACACCTCTCTATGCAATCTGTGATCCACTGATAGTTTACTTGCTATTCTTTTCACACAACACATCATTTCCCATTATCATGCCTGGAATGTACTCTTGGAATCTCTCGTTTCTATCAACTCTCAGCTGAAGTATCACTTTTTACATGAAGCCTCCCTCTATACCCCATTCTCTCCAGAATACTCCCTTTCCAAAACCATACTTTGCATTCACTTTGATATTCTATATATATACAAACATGTTGTCTCCATGGTATAGTATACATAGATTTACACAACAACAATGTAAACTCCTTGAGGTTAGGGACTGTTTCACTTTTGTCTTTGTATCTCCAACACTTAGCACACGGCTTGGCACACAGTGAGTACTTAACACATGCTTATTGATTTACTGATGAGGATGCAGAACCATCAAGTATCAGAGCCAATGATTGACGCTCATTGAATTGTTTTTTAAAAAGACCATTAGCATGTCCCACAAAATTTCTGGCCTTCAGAACAGCCTTTTGTGGTCCCACTGACTCCAATCCGGTATTCAGGTAGTTTATCTGTTCATCATCCCTTGCTACACAAGCCATTCAATTTTTACACAAGATACTGACTTCGACAAACAAACCATTTCTGACCTTCATAAATTTTTTTTATTAGTCATATAGACCCACAGAGAGGTCCTATATGTTATTCTTTCCATTGCATGCTGGGTTATGATAAGCATCTGGTCTTCTAATTCCATAATGAATCCTATCATGCAAAAACCATTGCAGGGAACATTAGAGTCCAACTCTTTTTTTTTTAATCCTCCAGGCACCTACCTCATTAGTGATTAATACTGTCCAGTATATGGTTAAAACTAATCTACATGGCTTTGGATCATATGTCCAGTGAAGTTTCTTGATAGACTTTGCGATCCAACACAACATTTCTTATCTGAATGTCAAACTGATGATGGTAACAGTGTCAGGTCAACAATTACCAAGGTTGTTTAAGAACTCCATGTTGTAAGACATGAGTGACATCAAATTTGTGATTCAAGTACATCTAAATTACTACTACATTGATCTCCAAGTCATGAGCATTACATTAGTCTTTGAATGTAATGCTCCTTTTATAAACATATATATACACACACATACATATACATGACATATATGCATGTATGTGTGTATATCTATATATACATAACACATACACACATATACACAATATCTATCTATCATCTATCTATCTATCCGTCTATCTAAAATCAAGGTTCATCTCTAAGCCTTTGCAGCTGCTACATCTTTTCATAGAGCTCCAGGATGGTATTTGTGATGAATACACAATCATTAGTGAGAAGCAGATGCAGGATATCCCCTGTTCATTACAGTCCTGTTTTTTCCAGTCAAGGTGTCAGAGCAATGTGTCTAAGGTAGCCATGAAGATATTAGAGAAATTTGATCCCCCTTTCCCAACTCCTCTCTGGATGC